GAGAGAGAGAGAGAGAGCGAGGAAGGGAGAGAGAGAGAGGAGAAGAGAGAGAGGAGAGAGAGAAGAGAGGAGAGAGATGAGAGAGAGAGGATGAGAGAGAGAGAGAGAGAGAGAGAGGAAGGAGAGAGAGAGAGAGAGAGAGAGAGAGTGAGAGAGGAGAGAGACGAGAGAGGAGGAGAAGGAGAGATGACGAGAGAGAGAGAGAGAGAGAGAGAGAGAGAGAGTCGTTCCGCGGGATGGAAGGGGAGGGACGTGGAATGAGCTTGACAGACACTCATCAAATGCCGTAAGTGCCTCATGATCGCTGCCTGCCTTGCGCTGTGGAGGCAGACGGCGAAAGAGGTGGATAGAAAGAGCAGAAATAAGCTGACAAAGATGGCGTTGGGAATGTTTTTGGATCTGAATTTTTTTCGGCGGGAAAGTTTCAGAAAGCAAAAAGGAGGATGTTCTGTCAACATACTCTCCTCTTTATTTTCCTTATTTTCTCTGTTCACATCGCACCGCTTGTTAGCTGAGATAACACCACCATGCCTTCGTTGTAAGACATTATACGGATGCAGTCGGTGTTGCAAGATTTCGTATTTCGGAATAAATTATCTCGTACTCTCAATGGACCTTATCTTATCAGTGAGGGTGAATCACAAAGTGGCCTTCAGGGGGAGGACATGTATATATCTTTCTTTCTTTTTTTCTTTTTTGTTTACTCTTATTCTTTTTTATCATCCTCGTTTCTTCTTTGAGATCGCATTTACCATCCTTATTAAAAAGTTTTTCCTTCTTTTTCCCTTTATTGTATTTTTTTTTCATTGTCTTATATCGTCATTATCATATACTCATTATTTCGTATACGCTGTATGCGTTGCACTTCATTAACTTTTTCGGCTCTAATGTTCATAGCAGTTGCCTCTGGGCATCGCCTCGGGTCTTCGCTGAAGTCTTTCAGCGCTCAAAAATCTCCATCTGGCGGCGGCCATTTTTCGCTCTGTGCATCTCGTTGCGGGCCCCTTATTTATTGCATCAATGGTCGCCTTTTAAAGGTCCATTTCCTGGCCTGACACTGACAAGTGTGACCTTCACGGGAGGAAGAGGTGGAGCAGTGTGTGGCAACGGTGGCATCTTACCCGCGTATCCGACCAAAGCCGGTCTGTGTTACTCCGGCGGCGTCGACCACGCACGCGGGCCGCTGAACCAACGCCAGATGAGAGGGAAAGGGTCATATGCAAAGGAAACTGTCATTCGGAGAAGAAGGCGTCAGTGACTTGTGTATATCAAAATGTGATGACAAAAGGATAGCAAATGGTAAACTCTCGGGGAATGAGCTTTTGCAGAGACAACGGCGCCCGCACACATGCACGCATTTAACTACAACATAAACACGAGACCACATGAACGAGGATTTATTCTCATACTTACACAAACACATTTTAATTATCTGAACACTTAAGTATACATATGACGCATACCCAGAGTACAAGTAAATGTTCCAAACAAAACACATGCATGCATGCATATGCAGATCCATATTCACATGTAAGTGCATATATATACATTACACTATCACTTGGGCAACTAGACAATTTGACAAGAACACATGCACGGGCACACGTACGCACGCACCCACACTCCTCACAGTCACACGCGAGCGAATCCACAGAATAGGGTTTGTGTGTATGTGCGCACGCGCGCATAGGCAGACATAAATAAAAAGTACTTATGTCTATCTATCTACGTCTATCTATCTATCTATCTATTTATCTATGTATTATCTATCTATCTATATCTATCTAATTATCTATTTATCTATCTATCTATCTATCTGTCTATCTGTCTATCTGTCTCTCTCTATCAATCAGTCTCTCTCTCTCTCTCTCTCTCTCTCTCTCTCTCTCTCTCTCTCTCTCTCTCTCTCTCTCTCTCTCTCTCTCTCTCTCTCTCTCTCTCTCTCTCTCTACATATATGTATATGTATGTGTGTATGTGTGTGTGTGTGTCTGTATAAAGATAGATAGACAGATAGATACATACATACATACAGACATATATAGATCTAGATCTAGATAAATAGATAGATAGATAGAGAGGTAGATGGATAGACAGATAAACTGACAGATAGATAGAAAGAGAGTCGAACACATACATATTCAAGTTTGTATTCCGCGAAAAGGAACAAGGAGAAAGAGATAATACAAACGCCTTCATTATTCCATAAAGCAGATTCTTGAGGGTTGCTCACATAAGTCCCCGGGCGCTCGTGTACTTCAGGCGCGCAGGTGTGACACAGTTCTGACCAGTGCAGGTGTCGGACGCACGCTGGCAGTGACACGCGAGATGGGGGGGGGGGATGAAAGAGAGAGAGAGGGGAGAGAGAGAGAGGGGGGGGGGGGAGAGAAGCGGAGAGAGATGATGAGAGAGAGAGAGAGAGGCAGAGAGAGGAGAGAGAGAGAGAGATGAGCAGAGACCGAGGAGGACGAGAGAGAGAGAGAGAGAGGTAGAGAGAGAGGAGAGAGACGAGAGAGAGAGGAGAGAGAGATGGGGGATGAGGAGGGAGGGGAGGAAGGGAGGGAGTCGGGAGAGGAAGAGAGAAGAGACGAGAGAGAGAGACGAGAGAGAGAGAGAGAGAGAGAGAGAGAGAGAGAGAGAGAGGGGGGGGGGGAGGAGAGGAGAGAGAGAAGAGAGAGAGTCTCAGAGAGGAAGAGAGAGAGGATGAGAGGGAGGAGCGAGAGAACGAGAAGAGAATAGGGAACTGAGAGAAGAGAGAGGGAGGCAGACGAGGAAGAGATGAGAGAAGAGAGAGACAAGAGACTGAGGAGAGGAGACGAGAAGGGGAGGAGGATGGAGAGCGGAAGAAAAGAGAGATGGGAGAGAGGAGAGAGAGAGAGGACGAGAGAGAGAGGGGAGAGAGAGAGAGAGGCCAGAGGAGCAGATGAGAGGGGAAAGACAAAGAGATGAGAGAGAGAGAGAGAGAGAGAGACGAGAGAGATGAGAGATGAGGAGAGAGATGATGAGGAGGAGGAGAGAGAGAGGAGAGATGAGAGAAGAGAGAGAGAGAGAGAAGAGACGAGGAGAGAGACGAGTCGAATGATGAGAGGGAGAGGAGAAGGAGATGAGAGTAGGAGAGAGGAGAGAGAAAACGAGAAGAGAGAGAGGCAGAGAGAGGCAGAGAGAGAGAGAGAAAGAAAGAAGAGAGAGAGAGAGAGAGAGAGATGAGAGAGACGAGAGAGAGAGAGAGAGAGAGAGAGAGAGAGAGCGACAGACAGACAGACAGAGACAGAGAGAGAGACAGGCAGACAGACAGACAGACAGACAGAGAGAGGCTGAGAGAGAGGGAGAGTAAGAGAGAGAGAGAGAGGCAGAGAGAGGGAGAGAGGCAGAGAGAGGGAGAGAGGCAGAGAGAGAGAGAGAGAGAGAGAGAGAGAGAGGAGAGAGAGGAGAGAGAGAGAGAGAGAGAGAGAGAGAGAGAGAGAGAGAGAGAGAGAGAGAGAAGAGAGAGGCAGAGAGAGAGAGAGAGAGAGAGAGAGAGAAGAGGAGAGAGAGAGAGAGAGA